TTTTTTTTTTTTTTTTTTTTTTTTTAAAGATGACTGGTAAGGGGATCTTAACCCTTGACTTGGTGTTGTCAGCACCACGCTCAGCCAGTGAGCCAACCGGCCATCCCTATACGGGATCCGAACCCGCGGCCTTGGTGTTATCAGCACCGCATTCTCCTGAGTGAGCCACGGGCCGGCCCCGCCTGATATAGTTTTTAAAGTTTACTTTGAATGCCTTTAAGGAGAGCAAGGACGCTGAAGTCCACCTTAGGGCTTAGTATTCCTATTGACATTTGCCTTCTTCACACTGTGAATGCCCAAAAGATACAGTAGCAAGAATACAGTAACAAGGAGAACTGAAAAAAGTAACAAATTTATGTATTGCTGTGGATAGGGATGAGCAGAAAAGAAAACAAAGCTAGTGGATGGATCAGAGGAGAAAGCAGTCAGGAGAACAGTATAAGGGGTGAGATGGGTAAGATGAGGTAGTTCACAGTCTTTATACACAATATCTAGGCAACCACCACAGTGTTCTCTGTTTAAGGGTCAAGTGCCAAAGGAGTCACAATATGCTGAACATTCATGGGTAATTCATTTATGAAGAAACCATAAACACATTAGTATATATATTCTGGCACGTATAATGGTTTAATAGCAATGGTTAAACAGGCAAAGCTTATTTATTTTTCATGTAACATTCAAGAGGGAAACAGTCTAGACTTTTTTGCTGTATAAATTAAGCCAGGAAGCCAGACTCCTATGTTGTTGTTCTACCACTTTCAGACAGCTGTCTTTGTCTGCATGATTCAGGACAGCTCGCCAGAACATCCTTTCCCACTTCCATTTTCCATGTTAGTGAAAGAATAAGAAGAAGCATGCATGCACACCCTTCAAAGAAATAACCTGGAAGAGACATACATAATTTTTGCTAATGTCCCATTGGCTAGAACTTAGACACAAAGCCAAACGTAGATACAAAGGAAACTAGAAAATATATATCTTTTATAAACTTATTTATATTATATATATATATATGTTTGTTTTTTCATTTTTGTTTTTGCTTTGAAAGAGGTTATATGACTAGCTACTGAGCTGGGCTTAATCTCTGATAATTAACTGACATTCAAACACTCAACAGAATGGGTAAAAATCATCAAGCACATTGGTGAGGAACACCAAGAATGTGCAGAACATACTGAGACATTTTTTCAGAAAATTTCTTTCTGAGAAGTTTTATAAAGCAGATGAAACAGGCATCTACTGATGCTTTTCAAAGTCTAACTCGGCAGGTGATGGTGAATTAAGTGTTCAGGAGCTTAAACAAAACAAATACTGGCTGATTGTTCCCATATGTGTTTATGCTGCTGGCTGCCATAAAACAAAACCTTTCATGACTGACTGGAAAATTGAATTATCCTAGGATTAGGAAGCAGCTGTACCAGTTGCATGCCGTGTGCCAAGAATGAATCCTGGCCCTATCATTTTCTAACTCCATGACTTGATGAGACAGTAACTTTTATAAATGTATGTTCATTATTCATTAATCTGTAGAATGGGAATACACAATATTGAGAAGGACTAGAATGAAGATTTGATAAATTAATCTGTGTGAAAGCAACTCATTAGGTTTTTAATAAACATTAGCCAAATCAGAACCACTTTTTTTATTACTATGCCAGCGATTTTTTTTTTTTTTTGCTTATTTGTTCTATCAACTTTTTATGTTCATGGAATCAAATTCTTTGTAGAGTAATTCTACTGCCAAATACATGTAGAGAATCATTATCAAAACTTTCTATTTCTTAGCTGTCTTAACAGTTACAGAATAAGATTGTTCAATTTGACCCCTAATAATAAAGCCCCCGAATTAGATTATAAAACTTAAAGGTTCAAGGCAGAAAAATTTTAAGCACCAGTTAGTGGGGTATACTAGTATTGCTCTGGTTCTGAATAACCATGTTTCAAATGTAGATTGTTAGGACCCACCCATCCTACTGAAGTAGGATCTCAAGAACAGCATCCTGTACCCAATAAATCTAAAAAGCATTCTAGGTGGCTCTGAACACTTTAAAGCTTGAGATCTGTTAGCCTAAAGAAGAAAATATGAAAAAGCACATTACCATATAGATGATAAGAACAAACCTAAGGTAAAGGTCTATTGTCCTTGGCCTAATAATAACCAATTAAAATGCTAATTTTCTGGTGAGGTACTTCTATCCAAGTTCAGGCTTCCTTTTACAACACCCCTCCATAAATCACCCCAATCTTTTGAATCAATTTTGTCCTTATTCAGGAAGATTCCAAGAAGTTCTTGATGGATATTTGGGGATTTGCATGCTATCAAACCCTATTAGTAGATCCAGATATATAGCTACATTTAAGATTGTCGGCAATGTTCTAAGCAGCATGTTATTTACATACCTTCTTTCATATTCTTTGTAATACTTAACACATAAGCAATATAACTGTTATGATCCTCATATTACAATGAGAATGCTGAGGTTAAAAGAGGTTAAGTAATTTGATCACTATCTTAGAGTTAGTAAGACAGGAAGCAAATACAGAGTTACTGAGAAAAAGCAAAGAGAAATGTGACACTGAGCAAGAGAATTTTATTCCTTAGAAACCACAACTTTTTAATTCAATCCAAAACTAGATATAAAGTAGGAATTTGGGAATGTTTGGTTAGAAGCTTCTGTCTAAATTAAAGACTCTTGAATTGAAAAGTAATATAGTATAGGAGGGACATGGACAATGGTACAGGTATTCTCAGAATGAAAACTAATTGAAAATAGCTTTAGTAAAGAATGGCCTAGATTCCTTTCCCATGCTGCTCTGGGGGAAGCTTTTCTTGATTGATGTTGGAGATTCTAGCCTTAATATCTTCATTGCATTCATTAATTTTACAGGCTTTCACTCTTCCATAAAAAAAAAAAAAATGAAAATACACATTGCAACCTGGGGATGATTGAAGGCTTTTCCTTTGAATCTCATATTGCAAGTTGGCTTCTTTGCCCATTTCACAACATAGAAAGTAAAAATGTAATCTTCAACTGCAGGCATGGTATCTGAAAAGTTGCTGATTATTACTGACATAGAAGCAATACTCTGTAAGCACAACGGCCACTGAGAGAATGCTTTATGGTCTCCCAAGGTGTCACTGTTGAATTACCCAAGCAAACCTGATTCACAGGGACAGAGTGGGTATCTGGTTTGCAATCACTAGGGCAGATATGCTCAAAAATTTTTCAAGTAGGATGGCTAGAAAATTTTTCAAGTAGTGGTACTGCTGAGTCCTACAAACAAGAAAGCCTGTGTTCTGTCTTTGTAAACTAAGGTTCCTAGAGTGTACTGGAATTCTAAAGGTTTCAATCAGCAATCTGCAATTGCTCCAAACAAATGTCTTCTACATAAAATAAAATATATTTTAGCATAACTTTACATAATTTTGAATGAGGAGAATCTTTCAGACAAACATTTCTTTAAACACAAATTTTCACAGATAGAACTACAACAAAATAGTGGCTTATATTTTAATGGCTTTTACATCATAAGGTCTTTGAAATGACTTCTGTTTATTGAATGTTTATTGTGTGCTAGGCAGACTGGTAGGTGCTTTGCATACATTATCTCTTCTTTCAGTGGAGTCTTGCAACAACCTCATGGCACAAGTAACAGGAAAGGTAAATGAGACATTTTAGGTTATTTGCTCTAGATTTTGTATCAGTTAGCCATAAAGAAGGGACTAATACTAGCTCCATTAAACCATGTCATCAGCCATAACAATGTATTTGTATAGAGAAAACCTACAGATTTTCATTTCATAGCAAAGATGAGTGAGTAAATTATATGATACATTTTCCTATGTCAATTTATCTATCACCTTCAATTTCTCTGAAACAGCATCATCTATGTAACTAGTAAATGACTTGCAGAAATCTTCCTTTTCAAGAATAGTGAAATATAAAGGAAATTCCCTCACTTTGATTTTTTTTTTAACCTGAGGAAATGCAATTTTGATTCTTTTCCAAATGATAGTTTAAAACTTGAGTGTCTTGCCCTCACCCTAACTTAATTTTTTGGCTCCTCTTCTATCACAAATGCTAGAGGCAGCATGGCAGCAGAAAGAGTAGAGTCAAATTTGCAGTCAAGTCACTCTTCTGTCACTTAGTAGCTTCATGGTCTTGAGCAAAGTTTTAATTTCTGAAGTTCTGATTCTACATCTGTACAGGGGGAAAGATAATACCTAACTCCTAAAGCTGTTATGACAACTTATTGACTAACATAAATAATGCACATACACATAGTAGGAAATTAATAACAAATTTGAGTTCCCTATCTTGCCTTACTCAACTTCAGGAGCAAGAAAATAATCATTCCAATAATAATAAAGAGCTTTTTTCAATGTTGAACTTATGTACTGGGTTACAAACCTTCATAATTCCTATTTCATTATCTGTTCATAAGAAAAAAAAAGCCATTATATATTATATAAAAAGCCATTACATATTATATAATATAATACATATTTAATATACCTACATAAACATACACGTGTGTGTGTGTGTTTCTCATCACATTCTCCAAGAGCCAACATATTAAGAATCATTTTCTCTTACCACAACCTGAAGCAATTTCAATATGGATGTTCCAACTTCATTTTGGATACTTCACATATAAGGATTCTACATCTTGAAACCATCTCCAGTGGATTACCTAAACAAGATGAAACAAAAACATTTGGGAACATGTAAAAAAATCCTTGGTTCCTTCCAATAGCACTCATCTCAAATTTCTCATGTCCTTTTCCATCTGGCTATTTTGTTCTAATTTTTT